TGTGTCTGTTGAAGAGTGGCCTCCATTTTGCGCAGCAGGCGCTGCGCCTAAGCTCGCCGATCAATGGGGGAAGGAATCGTCGTCGATGTTGTGCCCTGCGGCCGCTGCCCTTGTGGCCCGAGTCGTGTCCTCTGTCTCACTCGCCGCCCTCCTCCATCATCCCCGTCCGCCGCCCTCCTCCATCATCCCCGTCCGCCGCCCGTAGTTTAGGGTTTGTAGGCACGTAATCGGAGTCCCCCGCATCATCAGTACATGTGGTCTCTCCCGGGGCGACATCCGTGCTGCCATCGTGGACGATAAGTACACCGCCTCGTCTCTTTTGACCTGCCACTCCATCCCCTACACCCTCCATGGCGACGCTGTTTGCCGTCGTTGCATCCCTTCCTCCAACATCCAATGCATCGCCATCAGGTGCAATCTCTCCGTCCTCGAGATGCACAACGCCGGATCGTCCAATACGTGAACGCATATGTGGTGACGAACGTGACGCCTTCCTTTCCGAGGCCCTCTTCTTCGCCCGAGAAAGACTCGCCTTCGTGACCCTCGTAGCATGGACATCAGAGGTCTTCGTCGGCAAAGCACTCCCGTATCGCTCCTCATACTCTGTCATGGCGGTGTGGCGAACACCATCAACAGTCCCAATGGATTGTGTTCCCATAGACGGTACACATGGCCTGCTAACAATCCGGACTCCCTGCTTGCCCAACCCCCCAACACTGCTCCCACTGCCATAGAATGCCGCTATCGCCAAAACAGTGGCGGTGTCGCGCCGTGCTGTCGGCGATGACCCTACCACAGGCTGTCGTGTCACATCCGCGGTGTTTGTGGCGGGGACGCCCGTAACTGCCTCGGCAGCCGCGCTATCGGGATGGTGCTCTGAGTTTGACGGCTGACGTGGGGGTGTTGCTGGTCTTTCGACTGCGTCAACTGCCCCACCCATTGGAGCTTGCTCCGGGCCGTCAAACGAATCAGAAAGATTGCGGTGTGCGGTGCTGCGGTGACTGTCGCGGCGGTGTCGCGTCGTCGTCTCGGCCTTACCGAGGTCCACCTCGTGTGGTCTGCCAACACGAAAAATTGTTAGCGTGGCTGACACCATTGGCCTCACCATAATCGTATCGCCTCCGAACTCGTCAAACGCGTCTGGTCCGCGCTCCATGGCGACAGGCTGTTGTGGGTTAGGCGGTGACACGTGGGGTACACTTGGAGAAATCAACGTCGATAAGTCTGGGAGAGAAACGAGCGCTGACTCCATGACCAGTAACTCGCCTGTACCCGGAAGACTGTCGGTGGGGCATGCCAAGCCGACATGGTCTGCGGCGCTCTGCTCAGCTGCGGGAGTGTGTGAGATCTCACATCCTGGAAGATCCTCGCCTAGACATGCAACATCAGTCCCCTCCATCAATGCAAACGGTGGCAGCGATACAGTGTTCACTGCATCGGCTCCGTGTGTGCCTGATTGCTGCATAGCAACCCCCTCCCTGTAGCCCGTCGTTGCCGCTCCCACACTGCGAGGTGGGAGCATACTCTCTTGCTCCGCCACTGCCGGTGGTCGTCCCACATTTGAGGTCGCTGCAGCTGAGACTGTCGCTCCGATAGACGCGAGTGGATGTACTGCACCAGCAGAACCCTTGTCCTGCATTACTGGGAGATGATAGACGTCTCCCTCGGACTCGGGACGACGCATCAATGGTGCAGGACCCTGTTGCAACTCCGAGATTGCTGCAGAGGACCCCGTCAGAGCCATCGCGTGTGTACTCAAAGTATCATTTGGTGCATGACCGCTCCCATCATTAAGCTCATTCCGCTCCTCGTCGACATGATCGTTGAAAGAGTCCTCGAAAACTGGAATCTGCTCAATTGCAGGGACTCTAACCAGCGGAACGCTAGCAACCCCACCATGACGTCTGCGAACACGTGAAGCGATGGTGTCTTGTTATCTTGGCCCACATTTTAAGCGCCTCAAGGCACCGCCCATCTCGAGCATCATCCGAAATGCTCCATCTCGAGCATCATCCGAGACTGTGCGGTGCTCACCTCCTGCCCCGTCGCCGCGCATGGTGTCATCATTTGCAGGTCTCGAGGCCCCTCGAGCGTCATCCGAGACTGTGCGGTGCTCGCCTCCTGCCCCGTC